CAGTCACCCCATGTGTGGGACAAGCAGCAGGCACGGGCTGTGGGAGGAAAGCACCAGCAGAACCTCCCCGGGATGCATGAAGCTCTGCAGAGCTGCTGGGATGCTCATTGCTTGCCATGCTGCCACTTTCCTTCTGTCCTACAAGCAAACATCTTAGGATAATTTGAGAAAACAGGATGATGGCACGTCACTGCAGCCACGACCAGGGTTTTTTTCACCTCGCCATGGATGAGCGTGGCACCATGGCGGATGCTGGCCCCAGCAAGGATGCTGCATTGCTGCTGGAAGTCCCCTGAGATGCAGGAGGGAGCAGCCTGGAGAGGTGCTGGTAACCCGGCTGAGCCATTTCCCTGGTGTTTGAAGCCGGCCAAGCTGCTGAAGAGGAGCTGACGTGTGGGACAGCAGCACATCACTTGTGCCATCCTGCACAGGGAGGCAGTGCCCCGGGGCTCCCAGGCCATAGTTCCCCACCAGCTCAGAACATCCCAGTGCTGTGCTGGAGCAAGGCAGCTCCCTTTGGAGCAGAAGGAGATGGTGGTGGTGGTAGATGAGATGGGTTGTTTGCCAGCACCGTGTGGGCAGGAGCTGCCTCTGGCACCGTGGGTGGATGCTCCCATCCATCCTCCCACGCCTGGAGATGAAGCATCGGCCGTGGCTCTGCTGTCTGCGGGGAGCGGGCAGCGTGGCTCTGCTGCATGGGATGCTAGTGGGCAGTGCTGGAGGAGCAATGGGGACAGGCCACAGTCCCATGGCTGCATGGGGACCTGCTCCAAATGCAAGGGAACTCAGGCTGGTGGTGCCAGCTGAACGAGCCCAAACTGGGGGCCGTGCCCATGGCTGCAGGGAGCTGGATGGGGGTGTTTGTGCCCGACTGGGGTCAAGTGGCTGTGACGTGCTTGGGCTAAGCTCTGCGGCGCTGGCGGCAGCCAACCTGGCTTTTATTAAAGCTTTCTTCAGAGCACTGCTAAAGCCCTTCCAGATGTGAGCTGCCAGGGCCATCAGAGCCAGGGGGACCCGGGGGACAGGAATAGGGAAGGCGCATGTGGTGGTTGCAATTAAACTCACACTGCAGGGTGGGGAGACCCTGATGCGGCCGGGGGCAGGAGTGGCAAAGGGCTTTGGAGTCGTTGCCTGGGGCTTGCAGGGTTGGATGCTGCCATGAGTGGGAATGGGTTGCACAGGGAAAGGGGTGAAAACCCCTGGGACAGGTGGTGTTGGGTTGATGGTGGCTGTGGTGGGAGCACGGCAGCGCTGCGAGGTGATCTGGTGCTGGGAGGGATGGGGCCACAGGGGCTTAGAGTGGCAGGGCTGGGGTTAGGGGTGATCTGGCTGCAGCCTCGTGATCCTGGCATCCAGATCTGCTGTGGGGCACCATGGGAGCCCAGGGCAGCTGCAGTCTTCCTCCTCCTCCTCCTCCTCCTCTTGTGCTCCCCCTGCAACCATTCCCAGGGCTCTCCCATGTGCCAGGGCTGGGGTGCTGAGGAGGGCTTCAGATCAGGAGCCATTCCCGGGCTGTGCTGGTGACCACAGCGTTTTGGGCTGTGCTGATGACTGCAATGTTTCCTGTGGCACTGTAGGTACCAAGGAGCAGCTCGGGCTCACTGTGGCACGGGGCTGGGCGTGGGGCGATGCTTTGATGCTGGGTCTGTGCCGAAAGCCGGGGCAGCTTGGGAACGCGAGGGCTTGGGGTGCAAGAGGGAGACACGAGGGACTCCAGGGTCTCCCCCATCGTGATGTGTGGTGGTTTCATGGGCATCCAAAAGCTGGGGCAGGGGAACGGCAGCTCCATGGCCTTAGCAGCAGCTCTGGACATCTTGGCACTCGCCTGGAGCATCTCCCAAGCCAGAAGCCATAGGAAACCCCCGCGTCCTTGAGGAGTGACCCCACGCACTTGGCACGAGCCTCGCCTGGCAGCTGCAC